GTACGTAAAATGCGGTGAGGACGGTGTTGGTTTTTCAAAATGTGAGTTACAAGATATGAATTACGCAAGCGCCTGAGAATACCATTGTAGCACTTCACCGGAGTATACCGGTATCATTATTTATATTTTACCACAGGAAGGAGCGGTGGCAAGAAAGAGATTGATAAACGTATACTTATGATGGATCAAGAAACTAAACACTTCTTCTAAATAGGGGTAAACCAAAAGATAGATATGTATAATAAACATAACATTCAGAGAGACTCCAAAAGATAACAATAGCTAGTCTAAGTAAATACTAGAAAGATAGGTTCCTAAATCATTCTAGTTACAAGTCAAAGCATATCATGACATATTATATACTCAGCAATAGCTAAAGATTAACTCTATACTAATGCATAAGAGAAATCTCTAAGGAGGAGCATAGCAGAATATAACTTACTCCGTCGTGACACTGGTCCTGCTAGTCCTACAGACGGGGGTGGACTACAGAGAATCAACAAGGCTATTACCCATGCAATCTACCACACTTCACGGAATGGAGGGTGCATCCACAGGCAAAACAATGCATATGCACCACGCTTACACAAAGTCTGGCTACTCGACCCGTTCGAACACTGAGTCAAGCGCTCTGTGATCTTATGCATAGATATAATGATAACTTCGACTATCCTAAGCATATCATCAAAGCAAACTATATAAGTGTTCGGCTGCTGGGTAAGCCAGCCGTTCGGGCTGTGGCTGCTGCCAGCGCAAGAGAGAAAGCATTGTAGATACAGTGTGAAACAGTGCACATAAGCCGGCCAACCAGCCAGCCGAACACTCCCTATGAACTTGATAACTAAGTACATAATATAAGTGAAGATCAGTGTCATCATAGGATGAATATAAAAGATACAAGGGCTATACCAAGTCTCCGGTGACTAGATCCAGAATCCGAGCAGAAGCCCGACTCTACTTAATCTATCTTAGCTAAGCTATGCTAAAACTCTAGTTCTCTGAGAGCTCTTCTCTTCTGAATGGATTAGAATGAACCCAATGCCTTTCTGGAGGGGGTCTGGGGGTCCTTTTATAGGGTGCACCCGACATCATGTGGGCCTATGAATCCATGGCACGGCTTCATCTCGACCGGACTGTCAGGGCGAGTTGGATACACGGCTGTGGGGCGGCAAAACGAGCGGTGAGGAGAAACATATGGACCGATGTTGGAGATGAATGGATGAGAGCGGTGGCACGAGCGGACGGAGGGACGCCGAGGTAGGGTCGGGAGAAGAGGAGTTGAAGAAGTCCCTCTAGACGAGGAGGGGCGGAATCAAAGAGATGTGGGTGTTGCGACAGAGACAAATGCGAGAAATTCATGGTAGTCGGATGAAGAGGATGAGGAGAAATAAGGGAAGAAAATAAACAAATACAGGGAGGTCAAAGAAAAAATAAAAAAATATAAGGATATTGTAGACATTTTACCATTTTTGTCAACCACGAGACGCTGTTTTACCAAATGATCTTCAAAACTCCACTCTACCAACCCAAGCTAAAAAAAGCTACTCCGCCAATGAAGCAACCAAACACTGCAGCAGTTCAGCATCCTTTAATCTAGCAAACATAATATAGGTACAAGCAGCCCTAGCTGCACCTATGTACGTACAGTACACACTACTACAGCGAGGTGGTACTAGAGTTGCGTTTTTATACTATGCAAGTTCCATATTCATGTTCGTATACACGGAGCGGCGTGCTGCAGGATCAGCGTGCTTTAACAAATCTTTAGGTCCCTATCAGGAGACTTGCGAGCAGCCGGTGTTCGCGGAACCATCACAAGGTTTTCAAAAGCAGCAATCATACGTCAAGTTGCAGTTATATATACAAGAACTTTACGAGGGGTTACAATAATAAGATCGCCCTCTTGGGTTAGGTGAAGACTTGCGTGGTGCTGGTTGTCTTGGAAAGCAGCACAAGGTTTTAAAAGGAGCAATAGTGTGGACGCATCTTCTACAAACTTATTAGCCACGTCATCAGCGCGCTACTAGTCGCCTTATCACGGTAGTCTCTGCCTCACTGCCTAACACGCTGGTCGTGCTCTGTGTCTTAGCACACCGTCGATGCAACTCCTCTGCAGCTCCTGCCACGGCAACCTTGGTGAGTTGAAGCATTTTCAGTTGGAAAATACTGACCTAGATTTTTCTTTGTGCTGAAACAGAAACAATTAACTTTGATTTTCGAAAAAAAAATATTTTCAAGTCACTGTTGTTGAACTATAAACATATGGCTTTAAATCTTTCTTTACAGCTCGCTCGAATTTGAAAATTTCCTTTGTTTCAGTTTGAACTCTACTGCACTGAAGAAAAGAAAATACAAGGTAGAGGGATCACCTTGTATTTTCAGTTTGAACTCTACAGCATTTTCAGTTGGAAAATACAAGGTATGCACTGGAACATGGGGATACAGTATGCATCTAATTTTTTTCCCTCTAATCTAGCAAACATAATGAACCGAAGACTACAGCAGTTCCGTATCCTCTAATATAGGTAGATGACTACCGAGCAGTTCAGCATCCTCTTATCTGGAATCATAATACAGGTAGATGACAACTACCACATAATATAGGTAAACGACAACGTACGTGCATACTCTACACATTACTACAGCTAGGCAATCTAGCAAACATAATATATATATATATATATATATATATATATATATATATATATATATATATATATATAGGTACAAGCAGACTTAGCTGCACGTACGTACATTCAGTACACACTACTACAGAGAGGTGGTATTGGAGTTGAGTTTTATATTATGCAAATTCCATACTCAAATTCATATATACGCCGATGGGAGTAGACGTCAACGGAGCGGCACGCTGCAGCCTCAGTGTGCTAGTAACAAATCTTTAGGTCCCTATTTGTTGTTATATATACAGCCATAGAGGAACGTTAGGTGGTGCTAGCATAATAAATCAATAAGATCACCCTCTTGGGTTAGGTGAAGACTTGCGTGGTGCTGGTTGTCATGGAAAGCAGCACAAGGTTTTAAAAAAGGTGCAATGATGTGTGGACGCATCTTGACGTCCCTTTCGGCAGCTGAGTCAAGTCGTCGGTGTAGTACATGTGCAGTCACTGGGATGGCACATGTGCTGCCTCTGCATTAATTACATGGATGGGAAGTGGATGCCTATAAGAGAGGATGCTTGCATAGGAACCAGGGAGTGCATGCCCTTTGTGTTTTCAGCCGGCGCGTGCGCTCTTGGTCTCAGGCACACATCGACGCAAGTCCTCAGTCTGGATCGCTGGCCGCAGCCTGCTTGGTGGGCTCTAAACCGTGGTGAGTAGATGCATTTCTCATCATTTGGAAAAAATACTTACCATTTTGAGTAGAAACAGAAACGTCTTACTTAGCTTCGAACAAATTTTAGGTTCAAGTCTTTATTATCTCGGCCGCTCTTATCCCTGGCCATAATGCAGCATAACAAGCTGGTCGTGCTCCATGTCTTAGCCAACCATCGATGCAACTCATCTCCAGCTCCTCCCACGGCCACCTTGGTGAGTTGAAGCTTTTTCTTTTGGAGAACACTCCTAACTCCTAAGTATGTTTCTACTTTGAGCTGAAACAGGAACATCTTACTTAGCTGAACAAATTTTATTAATTAGGTTATTGATCGAAAAAAAATATTAATTAGGTTCAAGTCTTTGTTGTTGAACTATAAACATTTGTCCTTAGTCTTTTTTTCGGATCGGTCAAACATTCAATTTCGTTTACTTGTTTCAGTTTGATCTGTTGTTGCACTGAAGAAAAGAAACAAGCGGAGGGGGATAGCAACTGGAACACACAGTGAAACAACTTTAACTGGGAATCGACGAAATTTTTCATTTGATGTGGCAGTGAAGGTAGATGGAAAATTTGGATGGCTTTGAGGGAAGCTATATAAATTTCAGTGGCATTGAGGGAATTGACTAAAGGTGGGCTTTTGCCTAGAGCCCGTCTCGCAATTTTCAGTGGCTGTGCCCAAAAATATCCGCCTATTATATCTCCTAAAATATTTTGTATAGTAGTCTAATGATGTAGTCCAATGTTCAAATTTACAAGAGGGCTGAAATTAGAAATTTTGTGAGACATGAACGATTAGTTTACTGAGCTCATAAAATATGTATACGGCCTCGGTAGAAATAGCACAACCATAAGCATACGAGTAGAATAAAAATTAATAAGACAGGTTTTTAAGCGAGGAAACTGGTCAACAATAGCTATATGGAGTTCATGCAGATGTATGCGGTAGGGGATCATCAAGAGGGGATTAGACAATTAGAAGTCGAACAAATAAACAAAAGTACATTCAAACATTGTTTTCATGTAACAAAATGAAAAACTAGATATATCTATGTTATTTGCGTAGGCCACCTTGTTGTTTTAGATTACTTACTTGGTTGCATGTTTGGAAAATCTAAGTTGCTGCGTACCACTTAGCTTCTGCTGTGCCAAACGTTATTTTTGGCGTGGGTGTTGCGATGGGAGATGTGACAGGTACCATCATCATCTTTAGAAAGATTCAGTAATCAATTAACATAACATATGGTCCGTTCTAAATTGTAAGACGTTTTGGCTTTCTATATACATAACTTTTGTTGTGCACCGAGCTATACATTACGTCTAAATACATAATACAAATCTATGTACGCAGAAAAGGCAGAATGTCTTATAATTTGGAATAGAGCGTTAGTGAAAAAACCCCTCATCGTTGGTACTATATATACGGCTGCTGGTGGCCTGCTCTTCTCGCCTTTCACAATCTATACTCTTGTTGAAAGAAGCAGCATCGCATTCCTCACGCTGCATGCTAGCCAAGGTGACAAGCGACTAATATAAACATCGTCTTTGCATATTTCTCGTCATTTTATTATTATTTCCTTCTAAGCTATATCTAGCAGCATGCATGAATGGCACCTAATGTATGCATTATTGGCTGTGTACGCAGCAGACAGATATAGTTAGAAGCCATGGCGGTTGTTCTCGATGCTTTGGCACCCTATGTGAAGAAGATAATCACGGACATGGCAAAAGAGGAGGTGCGCATGCTGCTGGGTGTTCCCGGTGAAATCAACAAGCTGAAGGATAACCTGGTATACCTCCAAGACTATCTGGCTGATGCTGAGAGGAGGCGCGTCACCGATGTTAGCGTGCAGTCGTGGGTGAAGAAGCTCAAAGACGCCATGTACAAGGCCGCAGACATCCTTGAGCTTTGCCAGCTCGAGGCCATGGAGCGGCAGGAAAAGTCTTCCAGCAGCGGGGACGCTTCAAGTTGTTTCTGTTCTCTTGAAGGACTCATGACCATGTGTGAAATCTGCAGGATGTCATCCAGCCATTGGTGTTCTGCCTGCAGAACCCTTTGTTCGCCCATGAGACGGGTAGCCGGATAAAGAAGCTGAACCAGGAGCTTGACAGCATCCGCAAGGGCGCCGCTCAGTTCAATTTCCTCAAACTCGGATCCTACGAGGAAAAGAGGACGCCAACAGATAGTACAGCACAAGCAAGACGCAAGACGACATCGGGGTTCGATGAGTCGGCTATCGTTGGTGAAAAGATCCAGAGGGATACAGAGAACCTGGTGCAGAAGCTAATAATGTCCAATAATCGCCACGACAGCAGTGCCAGTACTACCATCAAGGTGGTGTCAATCGTAGGCCCCGGTGGCATGGGCAAGAGCACTCTTGCCAGGAAGATCTTGGCAAACGAGGCCATCAAGGAGGAGTTCAAAACCAAGATATGGCTGAGCGTCACTCAGAAGTACGAGAAAGTGGAGCTGCTGAGGAACGCCATCACCCAGGCCAAGAAGGAACCGGCCAAAGGGAAGGACGAGTCCTTTCTCGAGGAGACCCTCACGGATGCCCTGTCGGCGAACAAGTTTCTGCTCGTCTTGGACGACTTGTGGACGGACGGAGCGTGGAAGGAAGTGCTCCACGTCCCTGTGGTTAGCGCTGCCCGTAAGCAACCGGGTAGCCGCGTCCTGCTCACCACAAGAAATGAAGACGTCACACTCAAGATGGGACACTATCACTCGCACAGTGACCAACTCCATGTCAGCAAACTGGACGATGAAGATGCTTGGTCCCTGCTCAAGAAACAGCTGCCCCGCCAGCGGCAGGTCAGTAATCCAGTCCAGTCCGCGTACAAACCGATCCATTTGATTGTTTTCAAAAAAAATATTACAGAGTTGAATTAATTAGGACATGAATTTAGTCAAACATTATCGTGCAGTAGCTATTTACATATTTATTAGGTAGGATATTCCAAAAACATGTATGCTCCAGCAGTTGTTATGAAAAATCACATTTTCTTGGCGCCTGGGGCGGTTGGATATCCCCATTGTCTGTCCTCCACCAGGATGGCCAGCGAGCAGCACCTTGCCATCAGCACAGATCCCAACACCACTGTCTGAGGTTGACCGGACCCCGGCTAGACCACCACCAATGGCCAGGCGCATGGTAAACCCCAGTCCCCAGGGCCTTAATCCTAATGACCGATGAACCCTAGCCCTAATTTTATTACCGTCATCGCTGTTGCTCCTCCGGGGAAAATTAAAGAAACCCTATTGATCCTGAGCTTTACCTCTAATATTGTTGCCGGACATGAAGAATATTATCCCGCACCTTGACCGGACAGGATGAACTGGGTGAAAACTCATGCGTCCAAAGGGCACCCACCTTTCCTCATGAATATCCTACCATATAAGTTTCCTAATTAGATTTTTTTTTCTATAATCATATTATTAGCGTATGTATTTCCACTATTATTCTTTACTCTTTAGACATGGCACAGTCCTTCCTTATACACATATATTTGTGGAATGGAAGATTATATACTACATCCATTCTAAACTATAGATCGTTCTAACTTTATAAAATATAGAGTTTTTACTATGTACCTAAACACAATATATATCTAGGTGCATAGATAAAGCTAGAAAACTAGAAAAGTTAGAACAACTTATAATTTGCAACTTGCAACCGACGGGGAAGCAACTATTAATGACAAATGTAGTGGGTCATTAAAAATAAATTAACATCAGTCACTACTCACTAATCATATGCAAGGCTCTCCATCCTTGGCCGTAGGTCTGTTAAATTTTTTACAGAAGTTCTCCAGATTTTCCAATGATTCCGGATAAGGGATTTGAAGATGTCCCAAGACGTTCAGTAATATATATAGATTGGAACGTTTCAACGTGCTCCTCTTACCTGAAGTACTTGGCTTATTACCTCGGGGAGCTGACCGGTGACCGATAACTCCATGTCTCCATCCATAAGATTTTTTAGAAGTAAATATTATAGCTTTTTATTTCTTTTGGAGTATTTAAAATCCAGTAGTTAAACTAATTGGTATCCTGACATTATCTCCAAAATATCCTTCATTTTTGGAGGTGGTTCGAAACCACATCTAAAACTCACATTTCTAGTGACAGCTATAATTTTCAACAACCTCTAAAATAGTGGCATTTCTAGAGGCAGCTCAAAACAGCACCCGCCACTATAAATCGATTTATAGAGACGATTGGCAATATAGCCTGCCTCAAAAAATTCATGCAGCACAAAAAATATAACTTTTCCAAATAGAGTTGAGTAAAGACATCCACATCTTTGTAGCCGATGACTTCTCCATTTGAAATTATTTAGACTCCAAAATTATGTTTTATGTTCTTAGTATGAAATTGATTTGTTTTCAATTCTTCAAACAACTTTAGATGCAGAGATGCCCTAAATCAAAGTTGTAGTGCTCGACAAGAGCTAAAACCTTCCGGTTCAGATATTTTCCTTTTGAGATCATTTAGCAGATGAAATATTCAATATGAGATTCGCGAAGTTTAATGTAAAAGGATAGCATACTACAATTGGTCACAAGTTAATCTGAGTCTTAGTGGTATGGTAGTTATGCACGAGGTTTGCAGTCTCGAGTTTCATTCCATGAACTGCATGTGCAGTACGTATTTCTGAAGGACCGAAACGGCGACCAAAGGGGGGTGAATGGGAGCCTCAAATTTCTTTCGAAATATTTGGCCATTGTCCCAAAATCAAACCCCAAAGACAAACACACGAAAGATGAGTAGTCCATGAGACAACTAGGTGGCTGGATGTCTATGGCGATGACCAAGAGACACAGCGGGACCCTCTAGAAACAACCAAGCCAAGCCCTCGACGGAACGCCTTGAAACTGAGAAGACTGCACAGGGCCGGAATGTCCACGGGCCAAGTGCGGACTGTCCGCGGGAGGGGGTCCGGAATGTCCGCGGTCTGCGCCGGACTGTCCGCCGGCCAAAACTCCGAAAACAAACAACGTGAAACAGTTCTGCCCCAAACTTTCGCAGCAGCGGTGTACTGTTCGTGTCCGAGTGACGGACTGTCCGCTACTGTGCTGAAAGCAAAACAGTACATCTTGAAGAACTTGCTCGGCTCGACCCGACAGCGGATCGTCATTGGTACACCCCGGACTGTCCCAGTGTCATGAACAGAGTGCCCGAAAATCACCAAGAACACAAATTCGCTCGATTTGTGACCAAATCAAAACCAACTGCCACCAAAATTGAACCAAGGGATCACAAGGCAGTAGGTGAGCTACTCCTAAGAGATCATCGCTCAAAGTTTAGCCAATCAACGGAAAATTCTGATCACGCGAAGAACACTAGTTTTTCAACTATGAAAATTAAATCGCCCCGACCTATGAACTCGTGAGGATTCAGACAAATTCCTTCAGTGGAAAGGATCAACTCAGGTCCTAATTCATCCCAAATCAATCGGTTTGACTCAAAACGACCCACAACTCAAGATTCAAGCAAGAACGTGAGAAGGGGTGGAGAGGGAAAAACAAGAACGTGAAGAACACGAACGGGAATCGCACAAAAATCTCAAACCTTGAATCCCGGAGTGCACAAGGAGGTTAGGGCCTCCATTCCGGCACAAATCTTCGGTTCGATTACACAGATGAACTTGCTAGATCCTATGAGGACCTCTTGGGAGAGAGAAGACCTAGAGAGGAGAAATGCAAATGGCAAGCGGTGAGGGTGATTGGGGCACCCTCATCCTTATTTAACAGGGCTATTACACAAGTCCCAAACTGCCCTAGATAATTAGGGCAAACCACCTTACCCTAAGGCATTATGGTCCAACTCAGTCTTCTGTCGATCGAACAGCCACGCTTCCTACACAGACTTGCTTCGCCTCAACGCAACCTCTGTGATTCCGCCACCTGCCACCCCGTTCCTCCTCGGAACCTCCGCCCGGGTTTTGAGGCCCAAACCCGAAAACCGTCCACCGGTGGTTTTGCGGCCCAAACCACCAAACCCGCTCGTGAGTAGCATAAACAATACGCGTCCCCCGCTCCTTGACACGTGTCACCACCGTCCTCGACTGCCCGGCCGCCAAGTCTTCTAGAGCCTCCGCTCGACTTGCACGTCCGCTATCTTGACTCCGTTAACACGGTCACTCCACCATGTACACTTGCACTTGTCGATGTCCCCAGTTGTCAGTCACCGCAGCTGGTCCTCTGGCGCTCCGGTCCCTAAGTCCAAGCCTCACGTCCGCCCTTCACCGCTCCCAGTCCATCGGCATGGCCCGTCTCTACTTGACCTTTCACCTCGCCATCGACCACCGCCTCCGAGCTCCACACCTGCGCACCACAAGCCAAGAGACAAGTTGCACAACACCAACTCACACCATGGTTAGTTCACAAAGTCAACCCAAGACACGAATCACGTAGACAATCACTTATCACACTGAGACCACATGGGTACATATCGACCATGTGTCTGCAATTTCATTAGGAAAGGCGTGAGGTCTAGACTTCTCAATGCCGTTAAAAAAATCTTTTGCCTTTTTTTAGCCTATTCACAAAACCTGAAAACGATTTCTATACATGGATTAGTTTCGATCTGCCTCTACAAAACAATTTCTAAGGACAGTTGGATAACGCATGTGGAAATCGATGACACATAAACAAAGGTGAGTGTACAACGACCCGCCGCTAGAAATAGACTTTGACTGCCTCTACAAATCCTTACCATGATAGGGATCCATGCCCCACCCCAAACTAACCATCACTGTAGAAAAGATACAGGTCATCTATTTTTCACAAGTATATGTGTTCTCTCGCTCGATCCCTCTTCGCATCTTACCTACTCATTATTGCTGCTAGCAATATGGATTATATATTCCTTCCAACCTTGCTGTCTAAATCTTTGATCATCATTTTGGCATTTAAATGACTACAAATAAAAGTCATTTAGAAACTTCTAGTTGACCTGAAAACCAACAATTTTGATATAGTAAGGTTTAACTCCGTCCAAGTTCTTATACACAAGTCGTGAATGTCAGAAGACAAAGCTGAAACTGACGAATTAGAAAGGGAGGAAATTAGTCCTGGCTCTATTTAATAACCCGTATCTCTTTCTAAAACTGCACTAATCCCAAAGCATACTTAATTAAATAATTAAGTAACTACTGTTTTTAATCAGCCCGGGCCAGCCCTGCGGTGCTCAGTCCATCCCAGATCATATGCATGTACAGTACAAGACTGGTTTGTCATTTCGTCAATCATTATTTTGACGACCGGAGAAGCCACGGCTCGCCATGGTTGCTGAATCTCTATTGTGTGCCATGCGCACGGCACGACACCTTTCAGGCTTCGGATGCCGCCGGTGACTCTGTTATGCCTGTCGTGGCTTATTCATTCGATCGTCCTACCACACCAATCATGCCGCTTTCCCTAAACCTGGTGCCTGGCGGACCTTGGTGCCGCGCTGCAGCTCCTTGGAGAGTTCGCCGGATCCGGAGTCCTCACCATCCCAATGATTTGCATCAGCCGTTTGTGATGCCCATATGCCTTCACATCTAACCTCTCCTCACCGCAGTGAGCCCGCCCGGCCCGCCAGCGCAAGTAACTCGTTTTGGGCATGAGTAATAAAGCAGTTATCAATCGAATTCACAGAATTGTGCTATGCACCTGACGTATAGAACTATAGATGCAGATAATCTTCGAGCTTTCGAATTGCTATGTACCAACTCTGGGTTAGCTAGTTTGGTAGTACTGCTTCTGTTCGTGAGCTTGACATTGACGATTACGACGAGGGCCAACAGCAGAGTGCAAGTAGACGAGGGTGAAATTGACGAGGGCATGCATGGGACAGAGTTTTCGTGCTACAAATTTAACTAGATTTGTATAAAATGCGTATAATATTTATATCTCTAAATAAATTTATTAAAAAATAGATTAAAAGATCTATCTAATGATATCAATTATGTATCATAAATATTAATATTCTTTTATATAAATTTAATCAAAGTTATTCCCCAAGAAACGAAAACGACAGATATTTAGGGACGGGGGGAGTAGATTGGATCTGTAGACATAGGGCGGGCTGGGCTGGGAATGGTGGGCATAGGGCTGACCAAAAACTAATAATAATTTGTTAGTAAACTAATTAAAGGCTGCCTTGGGATTCGTGCATCTTTTAGAAAGTGGTCTACCGGTGCACTCCTCTAATATGTATCTATGCCGATTCTCAATAAAAAAGTAGCAGTAATAAGCCATATATACCTGTGTGTGGGCTCTCAATAAGAACCTGCAAGGATAATCATAGAGGGGTCTATAGTGCCTCTTATTGAGAGCTAAGAATGGCAGCGGATCGGGTTCGGGGCGGATATCCACGGGTTTCGGGTCCGCGGTTTTCGGTTTCGGTTCCTGGTTTTCGCCCACGGATTTACTGGTTCGGATACCCGAAATACTACGGTTTTGGGGCGGATCCTGAATTTCATCCGTGGAGCTCCATTCGGGGCCCCGAAATATTGAGCCCACTAGAAGCCCAACTAAGAACCCTATTATATAAGCCTGAAATCCTTGTTGCTCAGTGCTCAGCCAACCGTCAATCCCTCGTCCCGTCATCCGCACCCAGGCCAGGAGCCCCGCACCGCCGCACGGCGGCCGCACGCCCGCACCCACCCGACGCCCCGACGGGCGACCTCGCCGGCCTCGCCAGTCCGCGACGGCGCGACCACGCCGACCTTCCCCGCACCCCGTCCGTGACCTCGCCGACCTTCCCCGCACCCCGTCCACGACCTCGCCGGCCTTCCACGCACCCTGTTCGCGACCTCTCTCTCTGTGGCGGCGTGCGGCCTCCTCGGCCCTGTTCCTGCATCCGCCGGCGTGGGCGCACACGGCACGGGCGGCACCGTAGAGGTCCAGTCAGCGGGTCCCTGACGGCGCTCTGCCCTCGGCGGCTGGCGGCTCAAGAGCGGGCGGTGCAGGGAGGCGGGCGGCCCGGCAGAGGAGCGAGAGGGCGGCGGCGCTGGCGCATCCCTTCCCTAGATCTCGAATTTTCCAGGTTTCGGATTATCCGTCGGGTTTCGGGGATCCGCGGTTTCGGTTTCGGGGATGGATTTTCACCCGAATTGGTGTTCGGGGCAGTTTCGGGTTTTAGGATTGGGTTTCGGTTTTGGGTGCCCAGACACTCCACCCGATCCGAACCCGCCCCGTTGCTATCCTTACTGAAAGCCAACACAAATAATCAAGTATCCATAGAGTTCCCGATGTAAAGGCCGGCATGCAACAACATAATGCTTTTCTTGTCCACATGGCCTAAGCTATCTGAATAGTGATTACGTCAAACGGGCCTAGGCTTTTTTTTTCGAATCACAGTAGAGACACTTACACATGTGCACACAGTCATCTCTATGAACGCATGCATACACCCAATCCCTACGCATATGAGCATCTCTGAACTAAGACTTGAGCCGGCGATTTCGAGATTGACGAAGTCACCACATATGAACGCACAAACGCACGTGCCCCCCTACCCCCTATGAGCACCTCTGAAAGATTAAGACTTAAGACAGCGATCTTGTGATTGATGATGTCAACATAGGCATCTCATTGTCCGATGGATATATCGCCTACCACTCAAAGAACAAAGTCATCTCAAGATTGACGTAGTCACCACCTATGAATGCATGCACACACCCGACTCCTACCTATATGAGCACCTCTGAAGGATTGAGACTCGAGTCAACGATCTCAAGATTGACAAAGTCACCACGTGCGTCTCGCTATCAACTGGTACGTCGCCTACCACTCAGAGAACAATGTCGTTAAATTCTGAAATAAATCCAGGAAAATGCGAGCGCAAGTGTCTAGTTGAAGACTTGAACCGGGCGGATAGGTTCCACCACATGTAACCCAACCAGCTTGCTATGCTTTTTTATTCAACTTGGTTTTGTAGAACATGGAAATTTCAGTTCTGGTTATTCTATTACCTTCTCATATCTATATAAATTGTTTTCAGTTCTCTTCTAAATACACATGTGGATAATTCGACACCACGTTTGATTTCCATATTTTTTTACCATTGGATAAGTAACGTTTGAAGTTAAATTGCCACAAGTTGTTAAATATTGCATTTGAATACTATATTTACAACTTAAATTATTAGGTCATGTCTTGAATTTATAGCTCACCTTTACATGATTGCAATTTACTTATGCTGTTTTATCGCATTGGAGGCAACCAAATTTCCTTGCAGGTGTCCAGTTTTGTTTTTTTCAAACTACATTCCTTCGTTTATAAATGGTTTTGTATATCTTTGTACACCTGTAGGCACTACACATTTCTAAAATTCTTTTTTATCCTTTAAACTTCTTTATGCAATAGATTTCATGGCGTATTTAGATATGTAATGCAACGGATTGTGGATAGAGTTACTAAGTTTTTCTTTATGGATGACGTCTAGGTGGGTATTGCGGGTGATTATGATGAGCTGAAAGATATCGGGATGAAGATTATTAAAAAATGTGATGGATTACCGCTTGCTATTAAGGTTATGGGTGGACTATTAAGCACTAGGCGTCCAAAAGAACGTGAATGGGAGATTGTTTTGAACAAGAATATTGAGTGGAAAAAAGATGAGGCGCGGGAGGAAGAGGAACTCAACTACTCAGTTCGTTTGAGCTATGAAGATTTATCTCCACAATTGAAGCAATGCTTTCTCTACTACTCACTTTTCCCAAAGGGTTCAGGCTTTATAGAGGAAAGAGTTATTAGTATGTGGATTAGTGAAGGGTTTGTTCAGCATGATGGGAGGTCAGAGTCAGGCCAACTCGATCTTGAGGATATAGGGGCTGAGTATCATCGGGAGTTGGTTGCTAGGAACCTTTTGGAGCCCGATGATTCAACTGACAATATATGGGACTACACCATGCATGACATTGTCCGCTCATTTGCTCAGTTTATGTCAAGAGAAGAAGCTTTTGTGGTTCACGAGGATCAAGCCGACATTAGAAGTCTTCTACCAGAAAACAAAAGATTCCGCCGTCTCTCTATTGATATAGTTGATTCAGAACTGGAGTGGTCCATCCTAGAGCAGCAAGAAACATTGAGAACATTATTATTGATAAGCTGTGACATTAAACCTATAGGTTCATTACAAAATTTTGCTAGTCTGCGGGTACTGGAAATAAGCTCCGTGCAGTCTGACTGGTTAGTGGACTCTCTGTGTCAACTCAGACACCTAAGATACTTGTCATTGTCATATACAGACATATCTAGGCTTCCACATGACATCCATAAGATGTGGTTCCTTCAACACATTCAGCTTGACAACTGTACAAAGTTGGAGAAGCTTCCAGATAGCATCACCAAATTAGTCGGTTTAAGAAATCTTTCCTTAACTGGGTCCAAAGTTGATACAATACCAAGAGGGTTCGGCGGTTTAACAAATTTGAGGGCACTTTATGGGTTTCAGTAAAGATGGATGGGGACTGGTGCACTTTAGAAGAGCTAGAAGCTCTTTCACATCTTAGAAGTCTTCAAGTCAACAGTCTGGAAAATGTGCTTGATAGCTCAATTGTTACAAAGGCTGGAATTAGAAGCAAGAAGCATCTGGAGTATTTGGAGTTAAATTGGTACGTTGATGATGATGATGATGATGATGAGGAGGAGGAGGAGGAGGAGGAGGAAGAGGATGGCGATGATCGTGATGACAACCAAGATGATGAGGTTGAGGAGCAGCAGGAGGTGGAGAAGGAAGATGATGAGAAGGAGGAGGAGGAGGAACATGAGGACGATGAGGAGAAAGAGGAGGATGAACAAACAGAAGTTGAGAATATTGATCAGGACAAAGAGGAGGACGATGGTCATACTGAGGATGGTGTAGGAAAAGAAGAGCAACAAATTGGTCCAGATCAACAACAGAGAATTGAGGATGTATTTGATGAGCTCTGTCCTCCACCTACATTGGACACCTAATAATTTCAAATTATTTTGGCCGTCGGCTGCCAAACTGGATGCACTCGCCAGCACAAACAACCTTTCGATGCTTGAGGTCCATTACCATACTGAACTTAACCTATTGCTCTCGATTACCAGATGGTTTGTGCAGAATCCCCGGATTGGAAGAACTGCTTATCAGCAATGCTCCAGCCATCGAGCATGTTGGGCCTGACTTTCAGAGCGTAGCAAGCGGAGATGGAAGAATTGTTTCTAAACCGTTCCCTGAGCTAGTAAAATTGGAATTGCTCGGGCTGTCCGTATGGAAGGAATGGAACTGGGAGAAGCACAGCGAAGCCATATCCATGGCAGCTCTGGAACATCTACAACTCACAGACTGCAAGCTGACCCATCTTCCCCCTGGACTTGCCTGTGACTATAGGTATAGTCTGAGAAGCATATGCCTAAAAGATCTCACACAGCTAGAATATTTGGAGAACTTCCCTTCGGTTGTGAAACTCGATGTGCATGAATGCCCCATGCTCAAGACCATCAGCAGCTTCTCCATGTTGCGGACGGTCAACATTGATGGTTGCCAGAAGCTGAAGGTACTGGAGGGTGTCCCGGTACTCGACAACATGGTGTTGGATGATATTCCATGGGATGTTATCGGGACACCAGCCAGATGTAGGCCCAAGGGATATCAAGCTGGACTGCAGCGTCAGCTCCCACAAGATCTTACTATTATCAGGTAGGTTTGCACTTATTGATTAGATCAATAATTTGACAGATGATATACACCGTCGGCGATCACCGCGCATAAGATTAAGAAAGCAAGTTTCTTTTCAATGTAATAGGTGCATGTATAACATGTCGTCCCCCTCTACTTCTTGTTTGAACACGAATTTTTTTTCTCTCACCTTGATTGATAAATTAAATTTATCATGGTTTAGCCCAAGGTTCTGGGCACAACGCCCAAGATAAATAACCTGCTCTTCGCCGACTCAAGACCCATCTGTAATTTTTTTGAGAGGGTCCAATCCGTACACACACAAAGAAAGAGATTATGAGGCTCTAGCCTTCAGTACGCGGGAAACACGCACTACCACCGAACGTGCACATGTGTACCCTACTTTTTGAAAAAAAAAACAGAAAAAAATACGACACCAGGGTTTGAACCATGGTGGGTAGTGTCCCACTGGATAGCCTTAGTACTGGACCACATATCCTTTCGCAAGACCTTTCTGTAATTTGGTAACGAGACTCGAGGTCTCGGTACACCGAAGTATGGAGTTGCTCCTTTGCATGCCGGTCTGACTCATGTCGCTGCCACTCCCCTCCATTGTTGTGTTCCTCTCCTTCAGGCCATCGATTTCTCAACGGGCCGTCTTCTGGTCCTCCTAGAGGCTGAGGACAAGGTCGGCGAAGCCTGCAAAGGCAACCTAGGCCAACAGCATCAACCAGACCAAACAAATAATCACACTATACCACAACCAATCTGTAGCGTCGGACAACGGTAGCTAAAAAGTAATATTAACATCCAACCATCAGTCGCTATAAATTTGTAACAAATCATCGGTCGCTATTTTTACATGTATCGACGGAACATCGGTCGCTAAATATATTTAGCCTGTTACGTCATACAACCAGTCGCTAAAAACAAATGCTAGAGTCAAACGATTGGTGGCTATAGCCCATTTTCATTTTTTGGCGTGCTCAGCCCAGCGCACTCGCGCGCACTAAAATTAGCACGGCCCACCAGTCAGTGCCACCCAAAACCCTATCTGCAGCACTATTACCCACCCAACAGCCGCATCTCACCCAGCAGCCGCCAGCCGCACACATCGTCTCCCACAGCAGCGTGCATCTCGTCCGGGCTGCCGCCGCCACTGCAGTCCCCACTGGCGCTGGCGAGCTCCGTCTGTGCCGCTCGCATCTCACCTCTTCACCAGCGCTGCCCGCGAGCTCGCCGTCCCTGCCGTCGCAGCTGCCGTCCCCGCCGTCGCGGCCGCCGTCAAGCCGTCGCAACCGTTGTCCAGGCTGCCATCCACGCTGCGCGATCGCCGGTATCACCGTACTCACCCGAGCCGCTGCAGCCGTCGTCCCCACCCGGCCCGTCATCGCAGCCGCCGTCCCCTCTGAGCGTCCCCTAGCAGGTACTGGTTCCCTTCCATCCCGTCCGCTGCTCCCTTCCCCTCCTATCCCCTCTCGGCATTGGTCCCTTTCCCAGGCTTCCTTGGATGCATGCACAGCAGGTTAGCATGGAGGCGTTACTTGTTTTTTTAGACTAGATGGAACCCTGCATTTGATTGCACATATATAATGTGTAAAAAAATAGCATGGTCAGTGATTTTTGCGGCGCACCCTGGGGATCATGAGCACCTGATTAAGGATTTCTTCAGTGCTGCCAACTCTGTAGCCTTTATTTCCCATGCCGATGATATAATAGCCAAAGTGTTTTTCGGCCCTTAGTTTGTAATAAGTGATATTAGCAAGCAATTCCTCTGTCATACTGTATGCATCACTCTGTCTATGTTTGCTTTGCTTCTGCGGGCGATACACATTGCACTGGCCTTTACCCTTCTGGGTTTATTTTCGCACTAGAAGCGATACCCTTCTGGTATCGGCTATCAGAGCTGTCAATCGAGCAAATTGGTTGTCAAGTATTAATCCAAACGTTTAGGGTAACATTCCTTTAAATGTTCCCCATTCGATTGCTCCGCCGAATCCTTCTTTTCCTTTTGGTGTTTCTAAAATAGAAATATTACCCGGCACGCATCGCTTGATCTGATGAGGTTCTTCCTAGTTAGGTGACCATTTGCCGGATTTACTGCCTTTTGACCTGATTAGCAATCTTACTTTCCAGACCAGTCTCTTTTCAGAGAATTGCTCAATCGCAACCTTTTATATTTTACAAACCTCGGTTTATTGGCTTCAATGTTTTCCAAGGGCATGCAGCCGAAGTCAACTCAAGTCTTTTAAGTTATTCATCATAATATTCTGGTAGACTTCGGCTGATAAATCACTCTGCAACATAACACGCCTTGATCCAGTTCGAACTTTCCAAGGAAAGACTGCATCGTGTTTATGCACGAGCTCATAAGGCGATCAACTCCTTTACTCAAGGGGAATCCATTCCCAACCTTCTCCATAGTTTTGTCTCCTTTTTCCATTTTTGAAGATCAGGTCCTTTATTCCGGCTGAAGAACCGATTTTGAAAATAGCCAATTCTAGACTCTCGGTTTTAATTCTTTCTAGGTGTAAAAATATGGCCTTTATTAAGAGAGCCCTTCGATCTTCCATCCTTAGTCATCTAGCGCCGCATTCTCTTCGACATTGGTGAAGTGGTGTTTCGCCTTCTATTAATTGCGGTTACCTTTTGCGCATCCCGAGGCATCCGCCTCTTCGCTTTATGTCTTCAAATACCAGCCGAGGGCTTCACCCTCAAACACATCTCTATTCACAACTGTTCCTTCGCTCTCTTCCGCCTACGAAAACCCTACGGCGGTTTTCTTCCTTCCTTCCGTAGATCCAATCATTTCTTATGGCCGACGAAGATAATCGAGGCAAGCGCGTGGCAGAAGAGATCCCGACAGAAGACATGCCAACGAACCAACATCTCCGACATATGAGGTGAGATAGGCAATCTTCGTTCATGATGTTGACCTGTTCTGACTCGCCTATAGGTTCGTTGTGAACGACAGCCTTCATCCTTTTTCTAGGACGGGTAAACCCACTGATGCTGCATCTTCCGCGCCGGCTTCATCTTCAGGTTCTTCCAACTCATATGACGGTGATGATGCTCGGCGCTTCTTCCGAGAATGGAGGGCGGCCGAGGACCGTTATTCCGAGGTGATTTGGAACAACGGCTAGCTGGAGATTCATCTAGGAGTCTTTCAAGCGGCCCTTAATGCGGCTAAGGAGGAGGCCAGTGCCGTTCGAGCACGGCTGGCCAAGTCTGACACCACGGTAGCAGGTAAGATGAGCTCCATGACCATTTCTAATCTGGTTTCCATTGCCTTTGTCTTGATATTCTTCTGCAATCGCTAGCTCAAACGGTGCAATTGGAGTCTCTCCAATTGGAGGCAAACGCGGCCGCAGACGCCGTCAATGCTAGGGGTTCCCTCATTGACGCTCGTCTCCAAGACATCCCGGCCCGTATCCAAGAGATTGCCCTTCACAGTGTTCGTCATGGCGCATTGGTGGCGCTAACTGCGGCGCAGGTCCAAACTGGGCATGATCTCCACGCCATGGAGGTTGGCTTCTCGATTGGCGATGGCCCTGAGGGACATGAAGATTTGATAGAAGATTTCACCGCAGCGGCGGAGGCCATCGTGGACATCACATCCGCTCAAGATGTGGTGAACAAGGTCTTTGATTAGTTTGTACTTAGGGTAACCCGATGAACAAAGACCCCTGTTCTTTCATGAATGTGTCTCAGTGCAATGCCTTTGCGTATGACTATTTTTGCTTTTTGTTTTTGCTCTGGAGGCGATATGTATCGTATCGGCTTTCATGTCCTTGAGGATCTTTATTTTTTAAACTAGAGGCGATACCTTTCTGGTACCGGCTATTAGAGCCGATGACTAAATGAATCGGCTATCAAGTGTCGATCGAACGTTAACATAACATCTCTTTAGATACTTCTTGCTGCAGAACTTTTCATTCCAAAGGTTAAACAATCGATCAACCTGGGTCAAGCATCCTGTTAAGCTAAACAGAACTTTCTCCAACAGATCTATTAACTCCGAATTGCGCTTATGATTTGACTTAGGACTCACGTATGTCGACCCAAACCCATCTCCAGGATCAGTACTTATTTCCCTTAATTTAATGGCCGACGCGAAGCCACGATTACTGATCAAAACAAACTCTCAGAGCCGATTGCTTGAACCGGCTGCTGACCTTCATTATTAATCCTAACGAAGCCTCCTTCCCATGTTTTGCCAGAAAGGCATTTGAAGTCTCCTAGTTCCCAAAACACTGGATCGGCTATTGTAATGCTCACAGACTCATCAGCGCGAACCACCTCGACATCATTCCCATGCCATTGAATCAAACACTGATGCATGGTTGATGGCACGCAACAGTTTGCGTGAATCTAGTCACGACCGAGGAGTAAACTGTATGATCCTTTCCCATTGATGACAAAGAACGTGGTGAGCAGAGTTTTACTCCCGATTGTCAATTCGACGTTTATTGCCCCCCGGGTCCTGGATGTATTCCCTCCGAAGTCTCTAAGCATCATGTCGGTCTCAAGCAAATCTCCTGGTCCCTTGCCAAGCTTATGGAAAGTGGTGTAAGGCATAAGATTGGCAAAAGCACCTCCGTCCACCAACATCTTATTCATCAGCTTCCCATCAACAAAACCTTTCATATATAAAGCCTTTAAGTGCCGATGCTTGACTGGCTTATCAAACACCGCTTGTTGTATAACTGTCAACTTGGCAACTATTTCTTCATACTCTAACTCATCGAAATCTGAATAAACTTCTTGATCTATCGGAGCTTTGAACTCGGATGGCAACAGAAAAGACATTTGAATATTAGCCGATGGTTGCCCTCTATCAGCTGTTTGCTTTGCACGCCATACTCGAGGCTTGCCGAATGCCTGAGTCTGCTCCAACTCTCTATTCCTTAGGCGCTACACCCTTCTCTTCTAGCATCTTATCAATCGTTCGGGGCACCATTGGCCCTCCCGTTAGACATGTTCTCTCTGTCGCCTCTTTTTCATAATCATTGATCTTGATCCACA